TGATGATTTTTGAAATTTAACCATTACTGTTTGAGTTGTAGAGTTGTATGTTTATAAAAAAAGCGCAACTTTAATTAGAAGAATATTGATACAATTTAACTATCTAAAAGAAAATAATTGTATGATCAGTCACATATGGTATCCAAATGGACATACATACAATTTTTTATAAAGTAATTAACATCGGTAAAATGATTCATCCTTAAAGCATTATGTTATATAAAGTTTAAATATTGAAATGTTATATTTTAGTTGAGTTTAAACTAGAGATCATGTTAAAAAATTAATGTAAATATATAGAGATTTCAAATATGGCATATAGAGTTAATTAGATATTTTGATTGGTTAATTTAATTAATATATCCCTTAAAATATTTATTGAGTGACACATAAGATTTTTTCATATAGTGTCTCCTTAATTAATATATAGAGGATTTCTGATATTTTATCAAATAATTTTTCATATTTGATTTTTTTTAGATACCATTTTCATTTCGTATTGTACGAACACTCAAAATTTTAATTTTAATGCAATGCTTTGGAAAAAAAAATTAAGATTAACAAAATCAAAAGATTTGATAAAGTTCATCACGACAGTATTTGTCACTTGTCCAATGGGTTTTGAAAAAGCCGTGTGTACTTGACTTTGACCGAACAAATTAAAGCACACGTATAATAAACTTATTACACTATGAAAGAATCTTTCAATTATTATTATAGCGCGACTCACAATTCAAACATACAAACCACGTTCCGCACACTCTCTTATACTATTATACTATACACACCGAACTAATTATTACTTTTTGTGAACCGTGCTAATTAATTAACAATAAGAACATCAAACTTTCTAATTAAGCACGCCATTTACTACATTTCATTATTACAAATCTATAATCAATCATTTCTTTTATCCCACATGTCGTTCGTAATCTTTTCGTTATGTATTAATTTAGTTACCTGAAAAGGCATTGTAATAAATTAATTGGCTAATTTTTGAGTCTATTACTTCAATCCATTTTTTTTTTTGGTTAAAGTATTACTTGAATCCATGAAAATAAGATAATAGCACGTCTTAATTATTCGTTTTTTCTATTTGAGACGAATCGAAGTTCCTTCTCTTTTTGAACTTATACATTTTGGTGGCAGACTCGGCACCCCCAAGGTTTAAGCATGTTTAGTAACGTTCATAAACATGCATGCGGAATATTTACAAATTCTGGATTCAACAGACTAGATCTAGATTGATATATCATATGATAACAAACAAACCATTAATAACGTTATAAAAAACAAACCATTAATAAATCTAGCGTATGCATTTTCACTGATGTATTATGATTTTTTTTCCAAAAATATTAAGATTTAAAGTCACGAATTCGAATTTTATTGTTGGAAAAGAAATTATATTTAGTTGTTTTGAGATATGTTTCGGAAAGATTATAGACTACAAATGTCCATAATCTCTTTTTAATCAAAAAAAAAAACTAAGCATTAAGAAATGTCAAGCACTACTGTTAAAAATTTTATCATGTAAATATAAAATGTTTGTTTCATAAACAAAGGTTTTAATGCATATACTTGATGAAAACAGAGTAGATCATTTAATACAATGAAATACTAACATCTCAAAGAGGACGTGGAGAGATGGTCGAAGATCATATAATTATTTGTTTAATAATAAACAATGTCAACCAACTATCTTAAAAAAAATATTAAGAATAGAACATACATACATATTAAATTTAGAAAAGAAAAAAAAAATAGTGAAAAAGATTGGAGCAAATACGTGTATGAGAGTGGACCCGAGCTAAGTCTAGTCGAGGAGTCCAAAGACTTAAAAAAAGTAGAAGAAAATGATAAGCACATGCTCCTCTGATCCTCTCTCTCTTTCCACCTAGTTTCCTCTTGAACACTTGCTTTATATATAGAATCAAAATCTTTCATTCTTCCACAATCCCAGAAAGAGAAAAAAAGAAGAAGAACAACATCAACTCTTATCAAGAATCCCTCTAACTTTCTTCCTCAGCTTAAGGAACGATCCCACATATACATATTCACAAGTACCAAGTTCCAAGATTCGTATATACATGGACCAATATTCATCGTCTTTTGTCGATACTTCTTTAGATCTCACTATTGGTGTTACTCGTATGCGAGTTGAAGAAGATTCATCAACGGTATGCTTCTCTTCTCGTATTCTTGATCCTTCTTCCAAGAAAATTCATTTACACATATCCATGGAAATTGTTAGTATTTCAT